GACCAGGATGGTCTCGATCTCTTGACCTCGTGATCCACCCGCCTCGGCCTCCCAAAGTGCTGGGATTACAGGCTTGAGCCACCGCGCCCGGCTGCTATTCCTATTCTTAACTGCTCCATAAACCTTCTGAATCACAGGGCCATAACAGCAATCACTGTTGCTTACCTGCTTTTTGTCAGGCAGCTCTTATGAGCCTGGAAATGTTATATTATTCCCAACCACTGACAGCAACATACATTATTTTACTTTGTATTCAAAAGGGAAAAGCCCCACATTTTTGCTTCCAACTATCATGGTCGTAAAGAAATAGTCCCAGTTCTCTGGTAACTCTGCTTTCTCTCCTGTGCATGAGACACCATTGTGAGGCACCCCCATGCCCTGCCTTGCCTCTTGTTTCTGATGGTAGTGTATTAAACACCTTTTAATGACATTCACCTTTGTTTTATGAATTAAGATCCAGGCAAAATTCAAGAAATCATGTTGCTATGCTTTGTTACCAGAAATTATACTGGGTTGGGCCAGGCACAGTGGCTCATGTCTGTAATCTCAGGACTTTGGGAGGCCAAAGCGGTCAGATCACTGGGAGGTCAAGACCAGCCTGGCCAACACAGCAAAACCCTGTCTCTATTAAAAATAAAAAAGTAGTCATGTGTGGTGGCGGGTGCCTGTAATGCCAGCTACTCGGGAGGATAAGGCAGGAGAATCACTTGAACCCGGGAGGCGGAGGTTTCAGTGAGCCAAAATCAGGCCATTGCCCTCCAGCCTAGGTGACAGAGTGAGACTCTGTCTCAAAAAAAAAAATAAGTAATTGATAGTTTGATAAAAAATAACAATTTGTAGGCTGCTTTAGGTAGCACAGACATTTTATATTCTTTAAATTCATTAGCATAGAATGCTTTTTTATTTATTTGCATTGTCTCTCATTACTTTCAGTAATGTTTTGTAGTTCTTGTAAAGATATTTTACCTTCCTGGTTTGTGTTTGTTGCTGTTTTTTGAGTTAGAGTCTTGCTCTGTCATCGAGGTTGGAGTGCAATGGTATGGTCTTGGCTTACTACAACCTCCACCTCCAGGATTCAAGGATTCTCCTGCCTCAGATCCCCAAGTAGCTGGGACTACCAGCGTGTGCCATCACTCCTGGCTAATTTTTTGTATTTTTTAGTAGAGACGGGGTTTCACCATGTTGGCCAGGCTGGTCTTGAACTCTTGACTTTGTGATTTATGCTCCTTGGTCTCCCAAAGTGCTGGGATTACAGGCTTGAGCCACAGTGCCCAGCCTACCTTCCTGGTTTAATGTATTTCTAGGTATATTATTTTTTATTTATGGCTGTTGTAAAGACAACTTCTTAATTTTATTCTCAACTTGGATGTTATTGGTGTAAGGAAATGATATTCATTTGTATATATGAATTTTGTATTCTGAGACTTTGTTGAAGTTTTTTTTTTTTTTTTGAGAAAGAGTTTCACTCTTGTTACCCAGACTGGAGTGCAATGGCATGATCTCGGCTCACCGCAACCTCCGCCTCCTGGATTCAAGCAATTCTCCTGCCTCAGCCTCCCGAGTAGCGGGGACTACAGGCGCACACCACCATGCCCAGCTAATTTTTGTATTTTTAGTAGAGATGGGGTTTCACCATGTTGACTAGGATGGTCTTGATCTCTTGACCTTGTGATATACCTGCCTCAGCCTCCCAAAGTGCTGGGATTATAGGAGTGAGCCACCGCACCCGGCCTGAAGTCATTTTTAAGCTTAGGAGTCTTGGTAAAATCTTAACGTTTTCTAGGTAGAGAATTATATCATGAGTGAAGATAATTTCATTTCTTTTCCTATTTGAATGCTATTTATTTTGTTAGATTGCTCTAACTAGGACCTCCAGAACTATATTGAATAGAATTGTTTCGAGTGGATAGTCTTATTTTTATTCTAATGAGAAATGCATGCAGCTTTTGCTTGCTCAGTATGATGTTGGAGGATTTGTCATACATGGCTCTTAATTATTTTGAGGTATGTTTCATCAATGCCTACTGTGTTGAGAATATTTTCATGAATATTGGATTTTCTTGAATGCTTTTTGTGCATCTATGGTGTTAATCATATAATTTTTTGCTTTTAATTACATGGTGAATCACACTTATTGACTTGTATACGATGAAACATCCTTGCACAAGTGATAGAATCCTCATGATTGTGGCAAAATAGCTTTTTGATTTCCCTGTGAATTCAGCTTGCTAGTATTTCATGGAGTTTTGTTTTGATGCTCACCAAAAATAGTGGCCATAGTTTTGTGGTGGTGGTGTTGTGTCTTCACTAGACTTTGGTATCAAGATGATGCAGATTTTATATAATAAGTTAGGGTAAAATTCCACCTGGATTTTTTTGGAATACATTCAGTGGAATTAGTGACAGTTCATCTTTGTACATGCAGTAAAATTTCACAGTGATCTTATATAATTCAGGCCTTTTTGTAGCTGGTATGTTTTTTATTACTAAATCAATTTCATTATATATTTTATATATTTTTGCCCTGCTCAAGAGTTCTGTTTCTTCCTGGTTCTATCTTGCAAAGTTGTGTGTCTCCAGGAGTTTATTGTCTCCGAATTTTCTAGTTTGTTTGCATAGAGATGTTCATAGTAATATCTGATGATTTTTTGTTTGTATGTAGAATTAGTTTTGATTTCACACCTCCAACATTTAAATAGATGCAGAATGCGAAAAGAAAAAAAATGCACAATAGAAGTTTGACAAAGTTTAACATTCCTTTATGATAAATCTCTGAAAAAATATAGGTATAGAACAAACGCAGTTCAGCCAATAAGTGCCACATATAACCAAAAAATGCTAACACTGTACTGAACAGGGATATGTTGCAAGCTTTTACTCTTAAGAGCTAGAATGAGGCCGGGCGTAATGGCTCACACCTGTAATCCAAGCACTTTGGAGGCCAAGGCGGGCGGATCACCTGAGGTCGGGAGTTCAAGACCAGCCTGAACAACATGGTGAAACCCCGTCTTTAAAAAAAAAAAAAGAGCTAGAACGAAGTAAGGATGCCCACTCTAGTCAGTCTTATTTTAAACATAGTACTAAATGTCCAAAAGAAGCAAATTAAAGGGTAAAATTAAAGATATCCAGATTGAAGAAAAGAAAATTATTCCTGTATAATTTTCTTTCATCCCTATACATAATCTTAAGTATACAAAAGCCTAAAACTTTAGTAAATATTAAAAATAATAAACAGGACTGGGTTCAGTGGCTTATGTCTG